TAATTTTTCTCTATATATAGATATATATATATATATGAGTTCTCCTGTTCTGTTGTGTGATATAAAATGCAATGGATGCAGCCATACCGTACCGTTTAGTTCCCCTACATTTACACCATACCACAGAGATTTGCGGGTGACATTCCCTGTCCAGAGGTGGGAGAGATGAGCGCTGCTGGTCAGCAGGCAGAATGAATTACTTCCTACAGCTGCAGCGAGACACACTCTTTGTCTGTAATGTCTCTCAGACTTGAACGTCTGCTTTCTCGTCACTCGCTAATCACATCACCAGCGCTCTAACAGTAACAGTCAATGGTACCCCAGTGACTCCACAAATACACTTGGACACACAAACAGGAGCAACACTGACTCATGGACAGGCTTTGGGTGTACATAGAAAAATAATTTGCAGTTGATCTGTTGCATAATTCACAAGGGGCCTGCCTGCAACTAATCTGAAGGCAATATTTCCTTCAGACAAATTTTATTGTCTAATGAATCACAGAAAACTGCGAACATGCAGTACTTGTTACTTTCTCCAAGGGCTCTCTCTCTACACTGTAAACTCAAATAGTTCACAATAAATTTAATGGAATAAAAGCTACTCATATTTTAAAAGCTTGAATCAAAGACAACTCAAAAATTATTTAGGTTAATAGTTGGTAATTAAACATTTATTAGTCCATCTTTTACTAAATGAATAATGAGTTAAACAGATATTTTGAAGTGGGGTTTTGTGAAAAGTGTATGAAGAAATAACTAGTTAGCCAATGACTGATGTGAACATGATCAGGAAGAAAGTGGATTTTCAGCTTAAATTAACTTAAACCTGAAATGTTCAACTATTTCATACAAACTTTGTGTTATAAACATTTACAATACTGGTAATTGTACATTACATGATAATTTACCAAAACTTTTTGACATTTACAAGTAGAAGAAGTTTGCTTTAGTAGTTTGAGGTATTTCTGGCAGGAAAACTATCATATTTTTGCCAAAATACTCATAAAATGTAGAACTGACAGTGGTGTAAAGATACATATTCAAGGATTCAAGGATTTTTATTGTCATTCACACCACATGTGGTGTGGAACCAAACTATGTACAGGGTCCCAGTTACAGCCAACAAAAATACAAATTGTAAAGAAAAACAGTACTAGATTTTACAGAAATTACTATAAAATATTTGGGTTGTTTAAAGTTGACAGCAACTCTCTCTGACTTTGACCTCACTCAAATTAGCTGTTACCTTGTCAATCGTGTCAGAATTCAACTGTTTCTCTTAACTGGGATCCTTCATAGTGCTAACTGCAACAAGTATGATAATAACTGTTCATTAACTTTTCACAGAGCCCCGCTTTCACAGTGAAATGAAAATGCATTAAAGGCAATAAAAATAGTATTAAAACACTTTTATTTTTTTTAAATTTACGTGAGGTTTAAAAAAGGACAGACAACCAAATCAGTTTTAGATCTTTAATTGATAACAGTTACGCCAGTGTTACATTAAACACACCAACAGGCTGAAGGTAGTAAATACCAATACAAGTTCCCACTACTCTAATACTTCGTACAGCAGAATAAATTATACCATGATAATATACACACATGCGGAACAGAAAAAAAAGGAGGAAAGCAAAGCACAGATGACAGAAAGCAACTAAACAGGTTAAGGTTCAAAGAGACAGGAGGAAGGGGAAAGAGGTGTATGCCTTAAATATCCAAATGTTTATTGATGCAGGTGTTAGAAATGGGTTTGATACACTAAAGACATTTCTAAAATTCATCCTTTTTCAAATATACACAAGTGAGGTGTTTAAGTGGAGCAGGTAAAACTGCTGCCGTTCAGTGCGGAGTCAGCGTTAGTTTGTTCTCCTTAAGTCTTATTGGTCCAAAAATCAAACATGATTCTTCAGTTTTTTCAAAGAGGAGAGGATGCTGTTATTCACATCGTTGCTCAAACCGTCGACACACCTGAAAGGCTCTGATTACAGGGGTGTTGGGTCCGTGGTCTAATCAGAGCTAAGTCAGTCTGGTTAAAAATTCTCCGTTAGGTGACGATGTCTCTTTCAGCCATCTTTACAAATATACACTATGGTCCAGGGAGTCTCTGAAAGTTCAGCTCACGTTGCTCCTCTCTGACACAGTTTTACTCAAAACAGTTTCAGTTTATATTTTACTAATTTGTACAAATTCATCATCATGTGGGCCAAAAACCAGAAACAATTATTTTGACTCAAACAAGATAACCAGTTAAATACAGTTAAAACAAACCAAAAGGAAAACGGGCCAGTTAAAGAAACTTAAACAAAACACGTACTTTCACAGATCCATCACTCATCCATAACTTTGTTTTAGTATAAAACATACTCTTTATAAGGAAACAATACACAATCTGCTCCTGGGAATGTAGACTTTTTTTTCCCCTAGTTTTGATGGTGTCAGAGTCTCGTCTCAACCACTCTGTGAGCATCGATGTAAAATAAAATGTAAAATAAAATAAAAGTCAGACACCTCATGGGAACCGCTAGGGTCGTATCAAAGGTCAATGCTACACAAATGTTCCATATATCCTATAATTTTAGCATTTTTTTTTTAACTTTTTTGTACATTTTGGTGACAATGTCATATAGCTGAGGATTAGATGTAGTTCCAGTCCAGCACTAAGTGTGTGTGTGTGTGGGTGGGGGGTGGGGTGGACAATCAGTGGTGGTACTTGTGCCCTTACACAACTGACTGGATTATTTATACTGGAATTTTTTTTTTTCAGAGTGCATTAGAATGGCACAGCTTATCATCTCTTTAATCACATCAGATAATTCAGGAATGCTTATAACGTATTTTATAGACAGAGTCATAGGAATGTTTTGAAGGAAAACTCATTGAGTCAGAAAGTAGACATGGACTGCATGTGCATTTACAAAACGTCTTAATGACGGGATGAAACTGAAACACTGGCTAGTAATGGAACGGGTCACTGTGAATTAGCGTTGACATTATATCGGTGTGATTTAATCTGCTTAAGTCACCCAGGATTCACTGACAGATGGGATTTGGTAGGACTGGGAGGGGTTCAGTTAACCCTCCTTGGCGAGGTCCATATTTAAAAAAATACATTAATTTCCTCAATCCTGTTTTTGCAAACAATGCCCCCCTCCCTATGGGCCACGGCTAAGGATGGGATGGAGGTTATGAAGGGAAACGCTTTTGGCCTCCAAAACGCTGCTTAAATTCCCTGCAGATCCCATCCAGCCAGACTTCCCACTGAGTGGCCAAGTTCTTGAGGAATGTCAAGACGAATATGAAAGTGAGAAGGTCAAATCGCTCATGAACATTCGAGCTCGGGGAACAGCAGCTTGGAAAACAATCATCCTCTCTTGTGTGAATGGGCTGACACGCAAACACACACAACAGACATGTGCTTCCAGATCAATCTCAGTCATCCACTGTGTTTCGTCTTCGTTTTCTTTTTTTTTTTTTTTACACGCAAACATCTAACAGATAAAAGAGATACGAATGGAATCAAAGAACAACAAAAAAATCACATTAATCATATAATAGCAACAATAATCTGAACAATATCAAAAAGGAACAAGAATAAGAAGAGTTGGTCAAATGATATTTGCTTTGTTAACTACTATGAACAGCGAGGTCAATGTACAAATTGTTGATGGCTCCAAGTGTGTGCTGGACTGCAGCCATGACAAACAGGAGTTCAGGCCATATAGAGATCCACCGTCTGTGGGGTCCTGTCTGCCCATCTGGGAGAGATAAACAGAGTTTTGGACGTAGACAGGAGTACAAGTTGCAAGGCAAATGTGCCCAAATGATTCCGAGGAAATATTGTGTAGCCACCCAGAGATTGACAACAGTTTGAAAAGTTTTGTTTCATTCCCCAAAATGACTTCTTGAGCCAACAGACATCACTTTATCTGGTGTCAAAGCGAGCCGCAAAGGAGCCAAGCTGGAGTAGATGGAGCAAGGTGGAACAGGGCGAGGCAGAGGAATGGAGGTGCAGGGTGTAGCTTTAGTAGGCTTGTCCCGTCTCCACTTGCAGCAGCCCCAGCACCGCCGAGTGGTCCCCGAGTTTCATCCTCCTCTGGGTGGACAGGCTTACATTCTTAGCAAGGTAGTCTACAGCAGCTGCACAGAAACAAGGAGACAAGAAAACGCACATGAGACTCCAGCGACATGTGTCCCAGTCACTCTCATCTCATTCCTCTAATTAGGGCTGAAATAAGTTGTGGCAGGAAAGAACGAGTCAAATAAAAAACAATTCAGACAGCGGGAGTGAAAGATAAAAACCCCTCCCTTGTCACTTGTCTGAGGTTGGCATGCTGCTGGCACCGAGCTTGTGCATCCCGGTAAAGTCTCTGGGCTGTCAGTCACAAGGGTCCCCGTGTGTGTTCTGTGTGCCAGTCTTCATTACTACTGGCATCTCCGATTTCATGCCCTCCACACTCCACATGGCCGATCATTTTCAGCATCAGACGGCAGCTCCTTCCTCTCCCCTCCATTCATTACCCATCCACTGTGCTCAATCACCATCTTAATTAACCTCACATCAGATCACATCCGCGCTGCCATCAGTTTCTTGCCGCCGACAAAAAAATGCTGAAGCGCATACTGGAAACGTGACAGACTGGCACGGGTGCCCTTTTTTTTATTCATGTGCAACGCACATTAAAAGAAGAAGAATCACCAGAACAGCACAATAGGACGACTAGAATCCACACATAAATACAAACAAATGTGAGCGAGCTGGTGGGGACTGGATTGTTGGGGAAGTGTGCTTCATTTTACCTCTCATGAATGGCTGTGACAGCATCAGTCAATTATGCTAATCTAATAAAGCAAACTCTTTCCTGCCCTGGGGGTGTGTGAGTGTGATGGAAACAAGAGAAAGAGAGGTGGGCAAAAGGACACTGTGGCCCCTGAGGGTGTGCCGTTCTTTGAAGTGGTCCTCTTGTCTCTCCCATCCAAGCGAAGTGGGGTGTGACTTAGCGCTGTACCAGGATGGAGTAGAGCAAAGGAGAGGAGGGTGGGGGTGGGGGGTGGGGGGTGTCTTTATCAAGAGCACGTGTCTGCCTCCAACATCCAGGGTGCAAAGGTTAGGAGGATCTACTGCCTGAGAATTAAACATCACCTCTTGTTTTTCTATTCTTTATTTTAGTCAATTTAAGGTAAAGATGTAAAGAAAAAATTACTTACTTTGGCCGTACTGGCTGTACTGGTAGCCTGCAGTGACAGGGTCCACGCTGTAGCTGGTGGCGCTGTAGGTGGGGGGGCAGTATGACTGGGAGGAAGCCAGGCTGTCCACGCTCTTGATGGTGTCAGAGCGTTGGCTGCAGCTAGCTGAGATGGGGTTGGAGCTCTCCAGGCTGCTGTGCAGGGGGGAAATGGAAAAGTCGTGCTGAGGCTGAGAGGGTACGGCGCTGGGGTTACTCAGGATACTCATCACCTGGAGCGGGTAGGAGAGGAGTGAGAGAAAAAGATGTTTGAAACTTGGAAAATTGAGGATCAAAGCACTGACAGGGTTGAGGAATAGTACTTTCCCCCTCCCCTGCAAGTATAGTTACCATCCTTGCTCTTCACGGTGAAGACAGCAAAAGAAATACACAATTTCAACTTTAAAATAGGAAACTGGAGAAACTTCCCCTTTTTGCTTCCTTTATTTGAGCAGGGGAGTATGAAGAGGTTAAGGAAGCTGTAAAAGGGAACAAGAGACACTGTTTCCATTAGCTGGCAATGTCAGAAAACATCCTACTGTGGGACAGAAGGGTCCCAGTATGATAATAGACCCACCATACTTGCCAGACAGCTTGCATCCCAAAGCCTGAGGCCTGAGCCCAAGCCTACGGCACAACAAGCACCAAGGGAGTCCCTAATCCCTCGCCCCTAGCCTACCCATATCATGAATAGTAATGGAGTTGGAACTGGTAAACGATCCCCTCAGATCCCGACACAAAATCGGCCCCACAAAAAAAGTGAGGGGTCCATTGATGCCGCAAGTTTGAGTTGATTAAACACTGCAAAACCCTTATAATTCAAAATGCACAAAAGCTTCAAATTCAATATCGTAGATTAATGTAATAGCACAGGACATACTTCTATAGGTCTCAAATTGTGTTGCAAGAGAAGAAATTACTGCTGGTGTTTCTCCAATCTGAAGCACAGGATGCAGTGAAAAATGTGTTAGTGAGAGAGAAGGTATGGTTAGAACAAAAAAAAGGGTAACTGTCCCACACATGCTTTCCTTCGATGAATTCTTCCTTTCAACATCAGGTTCATGTTGAGGCTTCGCTATGCTGCACTGGCCTTTGGCCCCTCGGCTGCTAAACCAATTAGCCCATCATGGAGGTAGTTAAACAGGAGGTGATGCACACCCACACATATGTTTGTGAGCATGCATGCACAAACACACTCATACACGGGCTCACATGCAGCAATGCAGGGACAAGCCAACCATTCTACAAATGATGCTCGATAGCATAGAAGTATCCCACAGAGACAAAATTAACCACATTCTGCAAATGAATCATATCTAAGGGCCTCCCAGGAAATATGAAGCACATCAGAAACATAGAGGGGTTCATAATTTCCACATGTTAATTCTATCAGTGAGGAAACCCCCACCGACTCCCTCCACATCTGCGGACAATGCATGTGACATTTATCTATAAGAGAGAGATTCATTGCCCTCTTCATGTTGGACACATGTTCCTCTCTCTCGCATATGGAGGTGAGCACGTTGAGGAGCAAGAGGAGGAAACATAATGATGGTTTGCTTAAACTGAGTGGGGGAGGAAGTAAAATGTCCTGAGAGGGACAGCTGGAGGGCAGGAGTCCATTTTAGTTACTGGTTAATTGAAGCTTGATTACATCGTGGAACAGAATAGCCAACATTTGGTTCAATTAATATTCATGCTCATGAAAGTTCTTCAAGAGAAGATGACTTCTTATCATCACAATGATGCAGTTTTGCTATTTTAGCAAATTAGTTGGCTACTTTAGAGTGTGACAAGTGTCGTGTGAGGATATCCTTGAGTTGTCCTCACAAAAAATGAACATTCTGAGTTAATGATTTAAGTTTTCCTTGAGGGGGGAAAGACTACATTTATTGGAGAAATTGGGTTTTCATTTGTATTGTGTTCACACTGCTAAATAAAAATCAATACTGTTTCACCTCCATTCTAAGTCTGATGAAGGCACAGATAGAAGGTGAACTCCAGCCAGACTTTAATTGTGAGTATAAGTCAAATATAAGTGTCTTATTTTATTATAGGTTTGGATATTTGCAGGTCTGTTTCAATTGTAGGATTTTGCTTTTTTGATGTTCTCAAACATTTTTCAGTTCATTTAGCTGAAAGGCTCAAAAAATTGCATCTGGATAATTTTTATATTTGTGTTACTTGCAATATATTAATTAAATCCTAAATGTTGATACTAGGGATGCACAATATTGGATTTTTGGCCGATATCCGATATGCCAATACGTTAAAACTTATTTGGCCAATAACCGATACCGATATTTTATATACTTTCCTTTGTCAGAACATAGCCCTCTTATTTAGGCTTATTTGGTACAAAAACTGTGCAACAGCTGTAAGAGCTGGTGACATATATTCAGTAACAGCCATATGATATGCATAGCACTTTAACTTATATTAAATGAAAAGTGTTAAATGTTATTTATTAGCATTAGTTACTTGCGATTCTGTCTCACTTGTGGAGGCTTGTTCCAGGTTCCTAGCTGCAGTGTGGGATCCTCTGCACTCTTGGGCATGAAGGACAGACTTTTTAAGTTCAAAGTTTTTTCTCGCCATTGTGCCATAAGACTAATCATGCTAACGGGGCTAACACGACATCCAAATGTTTGTGGTAAAACTCACACAAGTGCTATCGACTATTAGCTTCTCAATGACATGGGTAATGACGGCTTGTAACTCGGGTAAGGCTACATCGGAAAAATATCTCAGAATTGGGACATTGGAGTGAGGCTCAATGTAGTCCAAAAATCTTCAGAATCCAACATCCTCACCAACGAAAAAAAAAACCTTGCACACCGCTGACATTTTGAATTTTCCTCTCCGCCGTGAGATCAGGTAGGCACGTGTGACATCATCATGCTGTTCTGGCGCTGCAGGCATCCTTGTCACTGGGTTGTCATACAAAAACAGCACCTTTTATATCGGTGAGTTATTTTGATGGAATGACCGATGTCCGATATTTAACTTTAATGCTAATATCGGCCGATACGATACCATGCCGATAATATCATGCATCCCTAGTTGATACTGTTGAAAACCTGGATTCCACAGAGCATCACTGCACATAGTCGGGTAAATTGCACCTTTCAGTGTTTTAAACAAGAACAGCAATGTTCAATATGGTGCAAAACTTTAGAGTAGAAACAAAAAGCTAATTTCATACATTCAACACACTCTTTTGAGCTGAGTTTTCTTTCTACTTCCTTCCTTATACTCCCTACCCTCCACCTCCCTTCTCTCAGCCTCCATACAGCGTCCCCAGCAGCCTGCAGTTCGTTTGTTGTTCGACATTATGTGAGTGCTGGTTTGTGAGATAATGTGAGCCAGGATCCAGTTTAAAGGACAATGCTTCAGGGCGTTCCCTGCTTCTGTGTCTCTCACACACACACCCCTTCACTTTCCTTTTTTTTTTTTTTTTTTTTTTACTCTCGCTCTCCACAGATAGATTACTTTATAAATAATAATAAAAAAGTAATTAATTCTCTCAACTTCTGAGCCCTCCGGCCTGTGGCAGAGTGAGTGTGGAAGTGTAAATTGATACAATGTGCATCCTTTCAGATAAATAAATAGCACACTTGAGACAAAAAGAGGCCCCTTTCATATCTCCCTAATTTCTTCAACAGCCATATTACAATTTTTGTTGTTGTTTGTGTGAATGTTTAACTATTTGTTCTTTGTTAGTATTTTTGCTACAATAAAACAATGTGACACAGACGGAGTAGAAAACATGGTTAATCATAGAAAGAGGACAAAACTGAAAGAGAGAGAAAAATGTTGGGAAAAGGAAACTAAGTTGCGCATGCTGCTTACCATATTTAAAAAAAAAAAATGGTTATAAATGTTTATTTGTTGGCATTTTTCCAACTTAGTGACTTAAATCCCACCAAATAGAAAATGATCGTTTTTATGTCTTTAAAAAAAAAAAAAAAAAAACTCCTCAAAGCTGTCAATCACAAAAATCGTATTATAACTGCCACAAATGTCACATTTACACCTGCACATTTTCAGTGTGCTGATTAGTGCAGGATGAACACAACACAAATTCACAAGTGCAAATAGAGAACTTGGAGAGCAGAGAACATGATAGACTATAGGAAGAAAGCAAGAAGGACAGAGTGATACAGAGTAAGTGAGAGGAAAGTGCAGGCTTTGGAAAGTACAAAGACTCCTGTAGGACTGTACTGGCCTGAGGGCCAGCCTGCCTGGAGAGCTGATAGGAACCCCTTCTGTTCCATTCCCAGCGCCAGCGCCAACACACACCACTCCACAAATACTCTTAATCTGTGCAATACTGGATTAGTTCCTCTGTCACCGATACCTCCCCGTTCTGCCCAAATCAAAATGCCCCCGAGATGTACCTTTAAGTTAGGCGGAGGTCATAGGGGCAGACGGGGGAAAAATGAGCACTCCAAATGTCTGCAAGTTATCTGAGTGGTGCAGAATAGCATTGTGCACCTTAGCAGATCGGCCCGGCTGATACTCGCCGAAGCAGGGAGCGATTAAAGATCCACAGTGGTGACACTACGTTTTAGATCAATATTTGAAGGCCAGTCCGGAGGGGGTGATTAAAGGAGGAGTTTAATTCTGTCATCCACGAGTGACACAGAAACATTTACCAATGTCTAGAAAGTGTCTGACTTTGAGGAAAGACAAAAATAATTAAATAAAAAGTTTTTTTTAAAGTGTTCAAAACCTGAAACCCAAAGAATCAGAAAATAAATAAAATATATCAGACTTTCTAATCCTTCCAGTGAGTTGCTTCTTACTCCTGCAGCCTTCCCCCTTCCACCCCTATCCCTCACATGAGAGGGCCGGCCCAGCGGGCAGTAAGGCCCCTCATCTGAGCAGACAAAATGACTATTTAAAAATAACAGTGATTGCATAAATTGAATTAAAGCATTTTGGTCACGGTGGAGGTGGTGCAAGGGGGCGGTGTGGGGGTTGCATCAGATAGTCGGGACGGTGGCAGGCAGCAGATGACGGGCTCTGGCCTGCGTGCCACTGCGTTAATTGGACCCAACACATTAATAAAAACAGAAAAGTGTCCTCAACTAGCCACACGGGATGAAGAGACGCAGGCAGAGCGAGAAGAAGAGGCGTTAGAGGGGACGATGCTGGCACTGAACGGAGAAAAACGGGTCTTTGAAGAAGATAATGTGGGGGGGGGGGGGCTAATTGTGTCCAATTAAGT